GCGCGGCAGCGGATCGATTCGCCGCGTGTCACTGCGACGCCGCCGTGTTCAACACGCGAATCACGCGTGCAATTTTAATTGCGGGAGTGCTGGGCTAGCGGGAGGGCCGGGGCCGGGCCGGGCCACGCCAGCGGTAGCGGCGAGCCCCCCGCACAGCGACACACAGCGCGCCGGGGCCAATCTCTGAATAAGAACTGTTTTGCACAACTTGCTTTCTCTGGATCTGGGGTCCCAGGCAGGCCCCAGCAGTAGCCTAGGCTGCTGGCGGCGAGGATTCACGCTCCGAGCGCGGGTGCCGCCGCGTGCCTCGGGGCAGCGGGGCGGCGGCCGACAGTGTCGTGAGGGTTATCAAGCCGTCCGAAGGGCTTCCGGTCGCCCACAGGGGTGCCGAGCATGCAGTCGGTCACTGCGCCGCACGGACAAGGGACAGGCCATGTATTTTGGTTGCAGACTATTTAAAATGTTACCCGTTGGGAATCTCTAAAACTTATTTTTAAAATACATTTTTGCGACCTGTTGATTATTTTAAGCATAACGCAGTGTTAAACACTTGGTTTATTAGTGTGTGTAATGCAGTGCCCTTCACAGTAAAGAAAACAAGCACTGGGATTACCAAGAGAGTTGAAGTAAACTACTGGAAAACCCATAAGACATCCCATGAAAAATTGTTCTTAAGGGCTTCTTTTTGCTGTGTTCAGACCGAAGTTGCTTTTTAAAATTTGAATTGTCCGCTTTACATCGAAGGTCCTAAATGCGTAAAGGCGTAAATAAGAAGTTGTGTGACTCGCGGCGTTATAGCGACAGGTCGTGATGGCCTGTCTCACCGGGTCGGGAAGGGGCCGAGCGCCGGCGCCACGCTTCCGGAGGGTAACCGCGAGCGCGAGCCACATGAAACTATGATTATTATTCGCCCAGAAGCGGGTCAGTGAGTCGGGATGGACATGAAAGAAAGACAGTAGAGGAGGCCAGGGGGACGAGCGCACGCGCCTGCGCCAGTGGATGAAAGGAAGAGTGTCAGCAATGAATTTGCTACACATGGCTTATTTACTGTGCGCATGTACTGTTCTTTACTTTACTTGCAAGCAATCATACATGATTGCTCAAGCAAGCTTTTGGAAGGCCTGAATATACTTTAGCCGTTGAAGTAGAAGCGTTGATTTCAAAAGAGAGTGATGATTAATCACCTTATGGTGGGCGGAGGCTACCCCATACAGGATGACAAACTGCAGTGGTCTTAACGACCACCGTAGGTAGCTCCAACGCAGGTCACCCCAGTAAAAATCTTACTTTATTGACACTCTTCGAAAGATATTTTGGCATTTTGAACTGCAGTGATCAATTGACAACACTCGCCGTGGTCGGCTTCCATACCAGAATTTTAGAATTTTCTTTTAAATGCAAAATTTTGGAGTTCTTTTTAATACTGCTCTAATAGTTCTCCACTTTGCTTCCCAATGTTTAGAAATAGAGGTAGCCAAAAGCTGACCTTATATTCCATAATTTTGGCGAGCAAAGAGGGCAAACATTATTGACATAGACCCTTAAAGAATGCCAAAAAATTGAATTCTAAAAAGAAATACCAACCTTTTGAGAAGCAAGTGCTTAATCGGTGATGATAGGTGTTGGGGGAAGGGGGAGGAGGGGTAGGCGCTGCCGGGCCGTGCGGCAGACGTCTAACCCCGCGTGGGGCCATAACGCACGGGAGACGACGTCCGAAAATGCATGCATGCAAACAAGCCACAGTTTAGAGCTATTTTCACACCCCAACACGTCAGCAGGTCACGACCTGTGTTGCTCTTCAGAAAGTCCAACCCGACCCCGGGCCAGCGCCGTGGTGTAAAGAGACTTTCGCTTTTAACAGGAGAGATGAGTCGGGGTAAGATGTTGCGATGGGAACTGACTCGACTTTTATTGGCCTCGGCCTGAGCTGGAGCCCCGCCGGCACTGGACCTCATTGACCCGCGAGGTGGAGCAGAACGGCTCGATAGCATCAGCAAAGATTCATGGATGACGTCTGTCGTCAATTAACGATAGGCGTACACTATGTGCATACTAGACACACAGAACAAATACTTAAGAAAGTGCATTATTGGCGGCGGCCACTTTAAAAGAATCCCCTCAGTATCGTGAATAATAATTGAAGGTTTGTACATTTTCCATGAGAATTCACTGTTTTTCAACGAATGTGACGTCACATTCGTTTCAATGTTAATCGTGTCACGTTCGTTTGAATGTTGTGTCATATTCGTTTCAACGTGAATCGCGGCCAAGCCTGGGCGCCATTAGAGTATCACCTCACCTGAAGTCACGTTTAAATGAATGTGACACAATATTCAAACGAATGTGACATGTTTCACATTAAAACGAATGTGACGTCACATTCCTTGAATAACAGTGAAGTGTTGTAAGTTACGATTTGAAATTTACAATTTTCTTATGACAGTTAGCATCGACACGAAATTCTATGACAAGCAAAAATGTCGACACAAATGAGTAAAATATACAAATTTATAAATCGTAAAAGTACACAAAGTATTAGAATTAACACAGATATGTGTCGCAGTAAATGCACGAAAGAAAAGAATGGGTGCATGATTGCAATTTTAAGAAGTCTGCACGAAGCTTACATTTTTAGCTTTGTCTTCGCTGCGCCCTGTGCTCCTCTCCGGTCCCTCACTCCTCGGGCGGCAGGGACCCCCTCCCGGCTGGACCTCCGGCCGAGCACAGGATGGGGCCGGGGAGCCGATCGACTGAAATCATTTCCGGGCGGCAGCAAACAACGTAACGCTGACCACCGGCCTTGAGGGAGGGAAAAAGCAAGAAGACAATGTAGGGCGCTGCCGGCGCACTGCTTCTGTGACGATTAGGGTCAGAGCCGGGAAAAAATTGGACTAGTCCACTGGGGGGCGGAAGAGTATTTAAAGCTATTCAAACGTGATTCTTCTATCTGTGCGACTGTAACAAACAGGAGAAGCGAAAGGGAGGGGGGAGGGGGTCCTCCTTCAGGTAGAGACAGTCTTTGGGGACTGGGTTTTAAAATCTCGTCCACCCTTGTACGCGCGCACACTTTTCCTCTTAGATAGAGCGCGTGGCGTGGAGGACTCTAGAAGAGTAACTCTCGTAGTAACCGAACTCATCGAGATGCATGCCCGCGCCGGCGGGGCGACAAGCATCTCAGTGTCCGGCCGGGCTGGGCACAAGGCGTGGTCGTGCCGCTTTGATATCTCGACGTGCGTCAAAGTCACGCAACGACTCGCGTGTGCCCGGCCGGCCGCGTGACCGCGTGACCACATCAGCGTGAGTGTGCGTACGCAGCCCTTATGTCTGCGCCGCATCAAGATGAAGGGCCGAGCCGAGAGGAGAGCACGAGGAGTGCGTCCGCAGGGAACAAACGGTAAAGCTTTCATTAGAGAATTACAGTGACGCTGCAACCAGCGCGGCAAACATGTGCAAACTGTCATTAGAAACCGTAAGGTGGTAATACAAGTGGACATTCGGAATCAAGCATTCTAGGAATCATGTGCACAATTAAAAAAAAGTTGTTGGTCGCCCCCTCGGTGAAAGGTCCTAGGAGAGTCCATGTAAAAGAAAACAAAGTTTTTTGCGGTTAAAAAATGCAGCATGTAACATGACACTCTCGGTATGATTCCGTACGCACATTTTGCTACTACACGCTGGCGAGCTCCGCGAGGAAACAAAGGAACAACACTAGTAGCCAGGAGGGAAGGATCTATGAACGCTGCTATCGCCGATGCTATCGTCTGACGTACGCCCGCGGGCCGGGCCGGCCTGCGGAACTGGCCAGCTGGACACAATGGGCAACGCACCAGGACCGGACCAGACGTTTTGGCGCGGCCATCGGCACCACATCGCCACAAATGTAGAGTGAAAACGATAGGACGTCGCACCTCAACGCAGCTGATTGTAGTGTGCGTGGGAGGATGTGGGAGAGGGGCGCGGGTGCCGGTACGGTATAGGGCCATCAACATGCCGGGCCCCCACGTGGGAGGACAGGTAGGCCGGCAACACACACACTGCGGGTCGCCGAGTGACGTAAGAGCGCGGGTAAGTTTTGGGCGACTTTCACGGACAATTTGAACCGGAGACACACACTCTTCTTGTTCCCGTCATAACATGCAAGAACATCAGACACACGGGGAGGGCAGAGAGCCGCGGCAGCGTATCGTGCGGTGCTGCATAAACGCTGAAGTCTGGCGATGGGGCAGTGGCGGCGCTGTCTGTGTGACACTTCCAGGCAGCTCTCGGTGCCATCTGCTGGGAGTGCTGCTGCTACACGGCGCTCCGGCGCTGGCGCTAGTAGAGCACTCCATGAAGTGCGCGCCCGCGGCGGCTACCGGCGTTATGCAAACACGCGATCGGGCGTCAGTACACCCGGCAGCTTGTTCAGCAATAATTAGAAGAGTGGCCGACACCTCGCCACGAGGCTGGAGCAGCGAGGCGCCAGGGTGCGACACGTAGGGATGAGGGCTGTCCTATTGCCCGCCAAGCGCAGCCTTTTGCCCATCGGACCAATGAATAAAATGTTGAAAAAAGGCGACAACACGTGGCTGAAAAGTTACCAGAAAATGGAAAGGGCGAAAAGAACGAGTAAAGGCGAGGGCGTAATTGGTCCGCAGGATGTCGACATCCGATCCCAAGCAGCCGTTTCCTGCTGCGCGCCAGTCTAAATGAAGGGATTACCGCCCCGGAGCCATCCCTGCCAAAAACGACTCGGGGAGAGAGATGCCCATTCCTGCCGCGATGACACGCTGCGGTAATACTGGGCAGGGGGAGGGGGCCTGGAAGTGGAGTGGAGGAGGGCACGCGCAGACTGTCCAGAGGGAAGGACCACGGGGCGCCCGCCGCCACGGCGGTGGGGAGGAGCGCCAGCCGGGAGGGCCGCGCCGGCCACCTCCTCCCTCTCTTCCTCTCATTCTGTATCTCTCTCCCCTTTCTCCGTCAGCCGCCCCACCCCTTGCAGTTGCCGTTTGGGGCTCGCCAGCCGCCCCGTCGTCTAGTTTAAAAGGGAATTGCCGGCTCGTCCTGCGATCAGTCAATTTCGTACCGCGAAGCAAGCAGCCTCCGTGAGCGACATGAGGGTGTTTGTGGTAAGTGGCGCGCCGCGAGTGAGCAATAAGTGTAGTGCCAACAGTGTCAAGTGAACGAGTGAATTAATCCCAAACGCTACGAAGAAAGTTGCAACAATTATTCAGAACAGCACTGTAAAATATGGAATTTAGTATAAAAACATCCAAGATACTGTGCTACGTTGACATCAAAATATTCCGACTTCAGTGCATACAAATGGCTTGTACTTCTATGGTGGATTAACTTGGATGAAACGATATTTCTGAAAGTGTTCGGCCATTAGTTTTTGACTATTTAGAGCTAACTATTTTTAAACTAGTAGTGTTACGCGTTATTGCAAAAACAAAGATGTTAAGCCACACCGTCCCAGGAATATTAAGGCACTAATCCATTAAAACCTTATAGAACCATATAGAACAAATATATTTGAAAAATACCTTCGATAATTTACAATTATTTTTATGACTTTTATTTTACGAACGCGGTCGTTAACTTAGAAAGGAACTTATCGACTTATACGAAGTCCTACACGTCCGCGCATTGAAAGCACTATCTCATTCATAATGTAAAAAATTGCTGTACTTACTTTAGTAACTCCGCTAATCTGTGGGCAGAACAGAACAGTTCTACAGATGTAAGTGGTTTACATTTAATTCTACAGTTGTAAGTGCGGCAAAAGTTTTGTTTTCCAGAACAGAACAAAAGCAGTTCTATAGTTGCGACTCTAGAACTATAGAACAAAACGTTTGCCACTTACAGTTATACAACTTTTCTACACAGAGTATTTCAATTTATCAATTTTTAACAGTAAAATACGAGATCATAACAGGACGATCTTTACCATGAAATTGTTTTCCGTAGTCCTTACGAAACATTTTTAGTGGTGGTATAATAATCATGAGCGTTATTCTTTTGGTATCCTTTTAATAGAAGCAGTCTTTCAAAAACGTTCACTGTTTCTGAGCTTTTGAAGTTGACCAAGGTGTTGACATTGTTATTCGTAAAATAGTATTTTACTTTCAGAACACAATCCAGCCGTTGCGCAGGATTTACATTCTGAACGATTCTCGGCGACAATAATAGTAGAAATCTCGAAGAGAACAACAGTATAATTCTTTCCCTGGGTGATTTTGGATCATCAAGTAAGTCTTTCGCCCCCACTCCACGACGCGGTTCGAGTGCAGTTGTAATCAATAACATTTGTTTCCCCTCAGTTCGCGCAACAATAATTGCTTGATTGCGATGCCCCGCTGATTAGAGCACTCCAGTCTGGACTGATTGGCGAAAGGTAGAAGAGCGAGGCGGAGGGATGGGGGGCAGCTCGGGCATGACAAAAGACTGCACTCGATTAACTGTCGGCGGCCCGCTTTCCGCAGAGCCGGTGACGTTAAACGGAGGGAGATGCGTAGGAGACAGGAGGAAAGACGGGGAAGAATAGGAGGAGGAGAGAAAGGGGCAAAGGGCGAGAAGGAAATGTGAAGGCGGAGGGAAGGGGGGGGGGTATTCTGAAGAAGGATGGCATGGGTCAAGGGAGGTGAGGGAGGGCGGACGCTTAATAATCACTTCCTGATTGTCGGACTCGGTTTTCACCAGGATCATTTTGCAATAGCGCCCCCTCCGCATCATCCGCAGCCAGGCATAATGCCCCTCAGCTCGGCGAGAGCCCATCACAGCCAATCTAGGCAGGCGGGCGGGTAAGCCGAGGGGCGGCGGCCGGGGCGTGAACGATGGGGTAAAGTGGGGTCAATTCATGACCGCCGCCGCTATTCGACACGAGGAGGGAACCTATTGCTATCCACCGCAAAGTATAGAGAATATAGTAGTCTGAAGATGACGGGAATTTCATTCATAAAAAAAAGTTATACATTTACCTCCCTTTTTTTACAATACTTTCAAAACATTGCAGAAAAAAAGCATGGTCACATAAAGGTAAATAACAATTAATATTTTAAAAAAACAGCCAATACGATCCTTTGTTTCCACACCTCTTCGAAAACTAATAGACAAAACTCTTTCCGGAGTTCTCAATGTTAACGTTTCTACACAACGACTTTTAAAATTATTCTATCCGATGCAGAGCGAACACAGCGCAGTCGCATGACCGCACAGTATGTCTCGTGGCAGGCTAAAAGAGACATTTTCACCTCTTCTCCAGAGCGTTAGATAAGAAGCACATGTCCATTTGACGGCGCGCGGTGGCACATCTCCACTCCACGGCCCGGCTCGAGACAAGTGTTTCGTGGCCTGTTACACCAACGGCACAGTATCCCACACCGCGGTCCCACATAAGCGGAATACCCCTGAGCGCTTCCTCCCAGCGGGCATCGCATCATCGCGTTCCCTTTGACTTTCTCTCTCTCTCTCTCTCTCTCTCTCTCTCTCTCTCTAAAAGAACAAACAAAAAGAAACAACTACAAAAACACAAAATATTAACAAACGAAAAAGATAACAGTAATAACAGTAGAATCAAACTGTCAGCAGAACAAAGTAAAATTACAATTTAAAATTTAACTTTAACAAACGTTTCACATAGAAAGTTATCTCGTAGTACGCGTTATGCACCTACAAACAATTTTCACAGGGAGCAGTCATTCGTTACGTCACATCGCATCCCCTGCGCCATTCTACCCACTACACCACCTCATCTAATCTTCCATTCATTCCGTTGATTCACATGCATATATCGCTACTCGCTGAGTCACTGTGCCATTTGGGCCGGGAGGGCCGCGGCGGGCCGTGTGATGTAGACTGACACAATGGCGCCATCATTACGGCGATATGGACGGCGCCCGCAGGGTTCGGCCGCGATGCGTCGTGTGAAACGAGGCACGGTGGTCGAAGGACCAACCAGCAGGGAAAGTTTTGGGTGAAATGAAGCGATTCGCCGAATCGCGCGGAGAGACTCAAGAAAACATTGGGCAATATACCCTGCAAATCAGAATGCATGGAGAAAATTTACAGTGTTCACTTTACAAAATTAAGTTATTTAGTGAAAACATAAAAGACAGAACTCTACATGTTAATTGCAAAACTCACGTTCAATTGCTCTTTAATTTTTAAACTGAGGTAGACTTTTTTTTATCTATAAAGTATACCAGAAAGGGACAGCCAAAGCCGCTTTCCTTAATCACCAGCACAGGCCGGCGCGAACGAGGACGCGAACGCCTGGGAAGTAGGCAAACCCGTCAAGCTCTTGTGGTCGGCGGTGTTGCCTATCCTAGGTTCGCAGGCGCCCTCCCCCGTAGCAACGCCTGAAGTGTTCTCTAAACTGTTGCAGGTGCTGGCGCTCGCGGCGCTGGTGCGGGCCGAGGCCCCGTACGCGTATAATGGACCAGTGGCGCCGTCCAGCTCATACGGAGCACCGTCAGGACCCTCCGGCGGATTTGGCGGTGGCCACGGCGGCGGTGGCGGCTACAGCGGCGGAGGCGGTGGCTACAGCGGCGGAGGCGGCGGCTACAGTGGCGGCGGAGGCGGCGGCTACAGCGGTGGAGGCGGCGGCTACAGCGGCGGAGGCGGCGGAGGCGGTTTTGGAGGTGGCCACGGCGGCGGCCACAGCGGGGGAGGCGGCGGCTACAGCGGCGGAGGCGGCGGAGGCGGTTTTGGAGGTGGCCACGGCGGCGGCCACAGCGGGGGAGGCGGCTTTGGCGGCGGCCACGGCGGCGGCGGAGGTGGATTCGGCGGAGGCCACGGAGGTGGTGGCTTCGGCGGTGGCTCCTTCAGTGGTAGCTCGTCGTCAGCTTCATCTTCGTCCTTCGGCGGTGGCGGAGGATTCGGCGGAGGCAACTCCTTTAGCGGTTCAAACTCCGGCTCCTTCGGGGGATCCTTCGGCGGCTCATCGGGAGCCTCCAGCTTCTCAGGATCCTCCTCGTTCGGCGGCGGCTCGTCCTTCGGCGGCGGCTACGACCAGGTGAGTGTCTGACCCACACCGCCGGTCTCGGGACCTCCTCGACTCTCCCCACGACTGCTTACCCTTCTCAGTCTCCTCTCTGCGTTTAATTGGGTCCCACTCGTAGGCAGACGCCCCGAGTCCTGTAGCGGGTGAAAACTGAGCCCCCTTTCCACTAAAACAGGATAAAAGTGGCCGTCAAGGTCACTGAGACCTGCCGAGGCGCAGCGAGGGCGACGTGACCCGCTGCACGTCAGCACTGGGCCGGTTCGGGCCGGCCGGGCCACTACATCGGCTCGACAAATGGAAATTGTAAAGCGGTAGCGCGAGCACAAGTAGTGAGGAACTCGATGGAGGGCTGAGTTGAGTAAAGTATAGCCCCGTGCACTGCTGTAGTTACTGTACCTCAGTAATTCCTGAGTGCGGGCGCGTTGTTTTCTGCTGCCACTGACCATGGCACCTTACGAGACGAGCCGAGCAAGTAGGCAACTCATCCGCTCGTACGATGCGATACAGCATACCTTCAGCACCACCTGGTATGAGAAGAGGCGGGCTAACGTGACCTTCCTGTTCATACAGCAGCTTCTTAAAGTCTAAGCTGTAATACTTGACCGGTGGGTAACATAAGGGATAGAAAGCAAGTGCGACCCCCGAGGGCTTGGTCAGCAAGACCACCCGCTCCGTTGTCCCGTAACACAGTCACGGTCCAGAGGCGCGACGTGTAACGCTGTTCGTAACGCGATATGAGTGCCGCCCTGGGACAGTCGTCGGGCGGCGCGTCGTGCGACGCCGGCCAGCGCGCGGTGGGGGTGATGACTTAAACACTCGCTCACGAGTGCAGCGCGGCGGGCGCGGGCAAGCGGCGGGTGGATGCGCCGAGAATGAAAGCAGTCGTGATTTACGGGACAGGAAGCGTGGCTCAATGAGTGATGAAGCCATCGCCCGCGACAGCTAGTTTGTTTTACAAGGCGCACGCTCGCGGTTCCACTATTAGATCATTTCCAGCGTCCCTGGATCTGGATCGTCCCACCCACACAAGGTACTCGCCGCGGCTCCACATAACGGTGATGCTGCACTGCACAAGCGAGATTCTAGTAGCGCACGTCTGGTTTAGAAGCGGTGGGCAGGAGCGGGTGAGTTAAGTTAGAGGGCAGCGGGGAAAACCTTCAAATGGATTCACTGTCAAAAGTGATTTTACGAAAAGAAAACAAAAAAAAGACCTTACAAAATGCTTAGTAAATATTTTTTTCCTAAATGTCAATTTAGAAATTATTTCGTAATGTTACAAATATAAAATACTGGAAATACTGGACGGCTGATAGTAGTCCAGAAAAACATTCACCGTCAAATTACGATTTTTTGCTTTAAATAACACTCGTATGCCCGACGAAATGCAACAAAGTTCAGGGGTGTCGGCACCCCCCGCGTGTTCGTGCGCGCGCGTCATCTCAATTGGCTTACTCAACGTCCGAGAGGAAGAGAGACACGCGGCCGAACGGGAAGCGGCCCCGCGGTCCCTCCCGCGGATCAACAGGGACGCTGCACGCGACACACCGGCGCTGCACTAATAGCATGTCGCATGAAGAAGCGCGGCTGCAGACTTTACGTAAAGCACCACCGCCAGAGAGAGGGTTCCGTTTTTTTTTCTCCCTTCGCCGCGCGATCATGCTCGCCGTCCCATAAAGCGCGCGGAACACAATGGAGGCGGCGCGCGGGACGCCAGCTCGGACACCTCGGACCCGCGCCGCTCATGTGACGATTGTGCATCGGACGAACGCCCCGGACGGTGATCAGTTGGGGTGGCGTGTCCAGTTACAGGGGAAAACAGTGTTGCCAGCCGGCAAAAAAAAAGGCAAAAAAAAAAAAAGCCCATGAATCCACTGTATGTGTCCAAGGACAATTTTTGTAACTAGCACCGGACTTCTGTGTGCATAACTAGCTCAGATACAATATTGTAACTACCAACACACATTTAGTCTTTAGCAAGTCACAATATTGTGACTATCTGAATTCAGTTATGCACGCAGAAGTCCGGTGCTAGTTACAAAAATTGTCCTTGACATTTAGAGTGTACCGGGTGTGACTGAGAATGCGCAGCAGTGTTGCGGGCTTGCCCACCCAGTTAGCCCGTAAGGCGCCATGGCCCCTGCAGCTCTGGCGAGTATGCAATCCCGCAACACTGCTGCGCATTCTCAGTTACACCCGGTACACGAGCTGCATCTACGTACGCCCTGCGTACAAGCCAACCCATCGGCACAAGGTGTGCGAAATGTTGCGAGGTATAGGCAGACTGCCAGCCGGATACACACGTGTGCATTCGTGGGAAGTTTTTGCCTACCTCCTCGATGGCAACGCTGCGAGAGAGCGCGGCCTGGTGCCGGGCTGCTGCAGCGCCGCCCTCCCCCGTGATTACAGCTGCAACATAACAATGGCGCTGCAGGTGCAGCAGCAGTGCCTACGAGGTGGCCGGAGCCGAGGAGGCAGGCCCGCCGCAAAATCTATAGGGAGTCAAATAGCAGCGGCGGGAGAAAGTGTTTCCCTGCCGGGATTTATCCTCGCGTCCTCACAAGCGGGGCATTTGTAACGGCGCGCTGCGGCTGCCGGCCGGCAGGGCTCGGCAGGCCAGCAGTTCTCGGTAAGGTCAGTGGACCCAGCCACCGCGGCGCCTCACTGCTGCAGTTTGGTGCGACTACTGCTGATTATTTGGACCAACACTCGCACTCATTTCTGACTGAGACTAGGCACACCCAACCTACTCAACTGAACTGGTATGGCGGTCCTTCAACAATGTCTCATTCATGCGTTTCTTCTCCTTGCCCGCGCAGGCCCCGCTGATCCAGAAGCACATCTACGTCCACGTGCCGCCCCCAGAGCCCGAGTACCAGCAGCCGCCGCGTGCCATCGCACCGGCCGGGCCACCGCGCAAGCACTACAAGATCGTCTTCATCAAGGCGCCCGCCGCTACCGCGCCACCCCCGGCCTCCATCCAGCTGCCGCAGCAGGACGAGGAGAAGACCCTCATCTACGTGCTCGTCAAGCGGCCCGAGGAGCAGCCCGAGATCAGCATCCCCACGGCCGCGCCCACGCCACCGTCCAAGCCCGAGGTCTACTTCATCCGCTACAAGACGCAGAAGGAGCAGGGCGGCGGCGGCGGCTACTCTGGGGGCGGCGGCGGCGGCATTGGGGGCGGCATCGGGGGCGGTCACGGCGGCGGCTCCGGGGGCGGACACGGGGGCGGCATCGGTGGCGGGCCGTCCGGGCCGTCGGGACCGTCCTCGTCGTACGGCGCGCCGCCGTCCAGCCCCGGGGGCGGCCCCTACTGAGCGCGGAGTGGCGCGGTGCGGCGCCTGTGATAGAGTGCGCCGCCCCCCGGCTGTCGCGACCCGGACACCTTTTTGCATCGACGGCTTTATCAATCAGTTTCACATAAATCCGTCGCGGGCCGCGACAGCCCTGCTACAGAGCGGCCACTCCCGACTGAGTAGTGGATAAGTATGCCATACGGGTACCGGGCACGCGGTTACGACTGGTCCCGACACAGTTCCTCCGGAAGCAGTGCGTCTCTTAAGTGGTTACAGGAGAGACGAGTAGGATGCGCTCACCAATTACCTTATTTTCGTACAATATTGAGAAGAAGTAAAAAAGATCCTGTTTGTTGTGTTACCATGTACATAGCTTAATGTTTATTACTTGTTTACGTTGCTTGTTGATTGTCTTACCACGAATAAAAAATGTTTTCTAAAAAAATGATCACGAGACGGGAATATGACATGACGCTGCGCGTCCCGCCCTGTGCTCCCCACTGCGACTCGCTCTGCTCCGTGACCGTCCGCGACACACGGAGAAACATTTGGCAACCTCCGTTAGCATGATGCAGCCGGGCGCAGGCAGGGCATCATGTGCAAAAGTGTAACCCGGGCGGCGGGTGTGCCAACAGAGAGCGCTGAGCAGCGCGGAGCAGCACTCGCGAAATCTTTTTCACAAGCGGTCGCGGGGGTCATCTCCATTTGGGAGGACGCAACTTGCCGGCTGAGTGAGGCGGACGAGTCCTCTGCACGAGTGATGCCCGCCGCCTGAAGACTATGAGAAATTAACCCGCTCACGCGGCAGACGCAAGACCAGAGAAAAACAAAAATTAAGGCAAGTTTCAAGCCCATAAGCCGGCGCTGCGCTGTCCACTCGGCTGAAAACCGCACGCCCACGCCCCACCCAACGCCACGGTCCGTGAAAAGCTCTCCCTACCTTCTTTATTTGGGGTGAGATCGAGGTAAAACACCCGGGCGGCAGCCAGGCGCGCTGCTTGCGCCGTGAGGCCGTCCAGCCGGTCACCGCCGACGGGGGACCGGAGCCCTCGGCGGGCACAGCGGGGGCAGAGGTCGCCGCGCAGCGCTGAGCACCTCCCTCTCCAGAACTGCAGCGCAGCTGCTTCGGCGAATCCCCGCACTGACGACCACAGGTCTTCTTCCTCAAACAAAACAAAGCCGTAGTTCGTTAAAGTTGCATCGCGCGACGTGCGCGACGTCCTTCTTGTACGTAAAATAATATTTTCTTAGATTAAAAAGGAACTGGATGACTACCAAACACTGTTTTGAAATCTACGGAGTCTTGCTTGGCACAGCTGCGAGGAGTACGTCCCTAATTGCAATGTATTGGCATTGGCATTTCAGCTAAAAATCAGTGCATCGCATTTTTTTAAGTATCGCTTTGTAACTGCAAAGTAATGCTGCGCAGTCCACAAAGCGTCCGAAGTCTTTGCAATGTGCAAAGTGCTGCATGCACAACATTATTGTTTTGCAAGAATTTAACAGTAAAAAATAAATCAACTTTAAAAAGAAAAGCAGCGGTTTGATAAAAGAAAGAGATTCGAAATGGAACGGATTTACAAACGCTCTCACTTCATTGTGGATGGGGGAGAGGGGGATGGAGAACCATCCACTGTTGTTATTTTAACATATTTCGTCGTAATCATCGGCATTTCAAGTACTTTTGAACACAGCATAATCGAGCGACCGCAATGGTCATCAACATCAACGAAATCCACGTCGCTTCTCTTATCACGACAACGGCGGGCGATTCCCAAAGCGGCGGCGGGGTTATGAAAATGACGACAGCGACCCACTTCGCCATCACTTCCGGCTAGCCGATTATTTCAAACAATCAGAGTCGTTCGGGACCGCCACGCCCCATCAGAGAAAGTGACAGCGTTCAATAAGGCGTCATGGCGGAGATTCCCTCGGCCATTACGCCCTGCTGTTGCCTATTATTGCCGGGGCGGCCCGGGGCCC